TCAGTGGAAATGAGAATGGAAGGAAGTTAGAAGTAAAGCAGAAAGCGGACACTATAAAAGCTCATGAAGGAGATGGATGTCAGATTTGGACAAACCAGGTTTGATTCCTGATTCCATAACATACTAGCTGTGTGACCTCAGGCAAGTGACTCACCTTCTCTGATCCTTAGCTCCATGGGAATTACATTACTATCTACCTCATAGATTGCTGCAAAGATTAAATTTATTAGAACTAAGTTTTTTTTTTTTTTTTTCAAAAGATGACCGGTAAGGGGATCTTAACCCTTGACTTGGTGTNGACAGTGCTCACAACCCCTCCTCCCCCAGACACAGTGAGCCCTAAAGACAGAACCCCAAGGCAACACACTAGGATGACAGAGATCCCGCTGCCCTATTTCCTTTAGACCTTAGCCAGAGGCCCCATTCCATTTATATAGGTCTATTTTCAAAATTAGTTCCCATCTCCTGGATGGAGATGGACTTCATGGAAAGGGACCCTGAATCCAGGAGAAAGGAGGGAGCAGGGGCAGGGGTCAAGCCTGAGCCAGAAGGATGATGGTGGGTATCCAGGGGGCACCATCAGAGCATTGTCTGAGTAATCTGCCCAGCAGGCTGCCAGGCTCTGCCTGTTCCAGGCAGTCCAGCCCAGCCTGGGACACCTCCACAGGCCCCCTCCATGCCTCTCAAATTGCACTGGGTACCTGGGGGTTTCTCTCAAGCCTGGAGGCTGATGACTTCTGAGGGACTGGGCATATCTGCCAGATGCCAAGCACTGGGTGGTACTTCCACAGGTGAGGGTCACTAGGGGTGTGGCTTCCAGGAACTGGAGGTATCTTGTGTGATGTCACCAGAGGGTGGGGCTAAAGACCACATCCCACACCTCTCTATTCTCCCCATCACCACTCCCATTTGTGAAATCCAAGCTAAACTGTGTCCCCTCCTAGCCAGGGCTCCATTGCAGAAAGAAGTTCACCATTAACCTCTGCGTGAGACATATGAGGAAACTGAGGGCTGGCTGAAAACTTTGACTTACCCAAGATCACACAGCAAAGCAAGAGCAGAGCTGGGCTGGGACCACGTGTCCTGGGCCTGGTTGATGGATGTTAGCCAAACTTGGTTGACTCCCGTCTCCTACTCAGTGGAAATGAGAATGGAAGGAAGTTAGAAGTAAAGCAGAAAGCGGACACTATAAAAGC